TCCCTCTGCAGAGCCCTCCTGCCTTCCAGCAGGTCGACACTCCCTCCCAGTTTGGTGTCATCAGCAAATTTGCTGATGATGGACTCAATCCCCTCATCTAAATCATCAATAAAGATATTAAACAGGACTGGACCCAACACAGACCCCTGGGGAACACCACTGGTGACCGGCTGCCAGCTGGATGCAGCTCCATTCACCAGCACTCTCTGGGCCCGACCCTCCAGCCAGCTCCTAATCCAGGAGAGGGTACACTTGTCCAAGCCATGGGCTACCAGCTTTTCCAGGAGTATATTATGGGAGACAGTGTCAAAGGCCTTGCTGAAGTCTAGATAGACCACATCCACAGCCTTCCCCTCATCCACCAGGTGGGTCACCTGATCGTAAAAAGAGATCAGGTTGGTCAGACAGGACCTGCCCCTCCTAAACCCATGCTGGCTGGGTCTAATCCCTTGTCCATCCTGAAGGTGCTGTGTGATTGCACTCAGGATGATCTGCTCCATAACCCTGCCAGGCACCGAGGTCAGGCTGACAGGCCTGTAGTTGCCAGGGTCCTGCTTGCAGCCTTTTTTGTGGATTGGGGTGACATTCGCCAACCTCCAATCATCTGGGACCTTCCCAGAGAGCCAGGACTGTTGGAAGATGATGGAGAGCGGTTTGGCAAGCTCTTCTGCCAGCTCCCTCATCACCCTGGGATGGATCCCGTCTGGTCCCATAGACTTGTTAGGATCCAGCTGGCTCAGTAAGTCGCTAACTACATCCTCCTGGAATACAGGAGGGCTATTCAGCTCTCTGTCTCTGTCTATCTGCTCTAGAGGCCAGTTGTTCTGAGGGCCACCTGTCTTACTGCTAAAAACTGAGGCAAAGTAGGTGTTAAGTACCTCAGCCTTCTCCTTATCTTTGTTAACTATATTTCCCTCCAAGTCCAACAGAGAATTGAGGTTTTCCTTGCCCCTTCTTTTGCTATTAATGTATTTATAAAAGGACTTTTTGTTATCCCTAACTGAATTAGCCAAATTAACTTCAAATTCCACTTTTCTTTCCCTAATTTTTTTCCTGCATGACCTAGCTCTCTTCGTAAATTCTTCATAAGTAGCCAGCCCTTTTTTCCACAGTCTGTAAACTTTCTTTTTATCCCTGATTTCTTTCAGAACCTCCCTATTTAACCAAGCCGGCCGTCTTCCCCTCCGGCTGGCCTTTCGGCACACTGGAATAGCCTGTTCCTGTGCGCTCAAAATTGCCTGTTTGAAGCATGTCCATCCCTCCTGGACCCCCTTGCCTTTAAGGGTTGTTTCCCAGGGTATGCCCTGAATTAGTTTTTTGAATAGGCCAAAATCTGCCCTCCGGAAGTCCAGAGTAGAAGTTTTAATGATGGCTCTCCTTACATCCCTAAGGATTGAAAATTCTATTATTTCGTGGTCACTATGCCCCAGGCGGCCTCCAACCACTACATCATCCACCAGCCCCTCTCTGTTTGTAAACAGTAGGTCTAGTGGGGCCTTACCCCTGGTAGGCTCATTTACCAGTTGATGAAGGAAATTATCCTCTATACACTCCAGGAACCTCCTTGACTGCCTCTTTTCTGCAGTATGAAGCTCCCAGCAGATATCCGGCAGGTTAAAGTCACCCATGAGCACAAGGGCTGGAGATTTTGAGACATCTGCCAGCTGCTTGTAGAATAATTCATCTCCTTCATCATCCTGGTTGGGCGGTCTGTAACAGACACCCACAAGGATGTCAGCCTTGTTGGCCTTCCCCCTGATTCTGGTCCACAGGCACTCAACCTTGTCACTGCTGACCTCAACTTCAACAGAGTCAAGGGACTCTCTAACATATAAAGCCACCCCTCCACCTCTCCTACCCTGCCTGTCCTTTCTGAAGAGCTTGTAGCCCCCCATAGCAGCACTCCAGTCGTGTGAGTCATCCCACCACGTTTCTGTGACAGCAACTATGTCATAGTTTTCCTGCTGCACTATGGCTTCCAGCTCCTCTTGTTTGTTTCCCATACTGCGTGCATTGGTGTACATGCACTTCAGCTGGGCCATTGATTTTATTCTCAACTCAGGCACTACACCCTTAGGCTTATTTCTGGAGAGCCCAGTTGCCGCCCCTTCCCCCTTCAAACCTAGTTTAAAGCCCTCCTAACTAACCCTGCCAACTTACGGGCTACAGTTCTTTTGCCCTTCCCAGATAGATGAAGCCCATCTGGTTTAACAAGACTAGGCAACATGGAGTTTGCCCCATGATCAAAAAACCCAAAATTTTGACGATAGCACCATCCTCTAAGCCACCTATTGGTAAGCTGTGCTTTCCTAAACCTCTCCTCATTTATCTCCTCATTCATCCCAGCTAGCACAGGAACTGAGCCAATTACTACCTGTGCTCCTGTCCCATGAAGTGATCGGGTCAGAGCCTTAAAATCTTTTTTAATTACCCTGGTACTCCTATTATTGATGTCATCACTTCCAACCTGGACAACCAACAGCGGGTAATAGTCTGAGGGTTGAATAAGCTTAGGAAGTGTTTTCGTAATATCCCTCACCCTGGCCCCAGGAAGGCAGCAAACTTCCCTGTGGGATGGGTCTGGCCGACATATAGGGCCCTCAGTTCCCCTCAAAATGGAGTCACCAATTACAATAACCCTTCTCTTTTTCCTCTTACCTGTAGTTGTAACAGATCCAGTAGACCGGGGGTAACCAGAAGACCTTGTAGACAGATCTTCCTCCTGACTGTCCTCCATCAGACTTTCTGAAACCAGGGCCATATACCTGTTTTTTAAGGGCACCCTGGCAGGTGAAAGGGGTCGAGAGGGGGTGTTTTTGCCTCTACGACCAGGCACCTGTTTCCATTCCTCCCCATCCATATTGTCCGTTCTGTCTGCCTGATGGCAGGGGGGGCTGGGCTTCACCGCCTCCTGCTGGGCTTCCTTAGGAATCGAAAGGGTGTGACTCCACCAGTCAATTTCCCTTTCACTCTCCCTTATACTTCTTAGCCTTTCCACCTCTTCCTTTAGCTCTGCCACCAGACATAGCAAATCATCCACCTGCTCACATCGTATGCAGGTGTTTCTCACGCTGTCCTCTGGTAGCAGTTCTAGGCTCAAACAGTCTATGCAGCCAGAGGCCTGAGTGGCTGCATCCTTTTTAGAGGGTTCTGTCTGTATTGACACCCCTCTACTGGTAATAGGAGCAACAGCTTTCATTTTTTTGGGAGGCATGACTGTGTTGAGCTGTGAGGAAAAAGCCGCAGAAATAACTTAGGCTTCTACCCTGCCTGTTTGCCCTGCCTATGGGAACTGCCGTGCCACGCCCTCACTGACGTGCCACGCCCCTGTTTGCCCACTCCACTTTCTTTGTGTGTTTAGTGGAAAACATGATTAAGATTTCAGAGGATGAATTAATTATGCAATTTTGTAACATCTTGGTTTTCTTACTATTATGCATAAGTATTGATGTTTTTGCTGCAGTGTTATTGCAAAAATGTATTTTACTGTTAATAAGTGCAATATAATTTCAAGTTGAATTCAATACTACTAGCATTATTTGCCTCTGTATTATTGTGGAGTCTTTGTTCTGTTCTGATGTAACTGCACATCTAATTACACATAATTTTAAAGTAGACCAAAAGTAAGACACTTTTTTTTTTTAAATTGTGAATGAATATGTGTCAACCTTAAATCTAGATGTGGATTTCTGTTTAAATTCTTATGTTTAGGCTTACAAATTTTGTGACTAGAACAGCACAAACTATCAAAAATATTTTTTTAAACTAAGATTAAGAAGATTTATGAGTGGTTTTCTCTGCTTTACTCAATTAAAGCAAAGCTTCTTCCCTACACAATTTCCTATGCCCTGTCTATCTGTGCCCTCTTGACTCTCTGTACTTGACTGCAGTCCCTGGGCTATGATACACACATACACATGGGCAAACATATTTATATATGTGAATATGCCAAACTGACTGTTCCTCAGTGTATTTATATTCCCATTTACACCTCTAAAGGAAAGTGTTTCTCTTCCCTTTGGACCAAGTTACAATCCTCATAACATACATCAGTTTTCCAGCTTTCCTGTCCTGGCTTTTGTTCATAGAAACATGTCCTTCTTTAATTGCCAGAACCCCAGTGTAACAAAGTAATATGAGCTTTCAAGGACTTGATATTAATCCATCAGAATCCACGTCTTTAACCACAAACACTCTCAGTTCTCAATTATAACTGTCATTAAAGGCAATTTATTAAAGCATTAAAAATTCTTGCATATAAATATTTTGTCATTTTTATCTATATGAAAGTTTGAGAAACTTTTATTATTTTACATAGCGACAGAGTAACCATGATTAGTACTTGGGTAGCAACAATGTGCTTTATTTTCTTTTCTAATAATATGGCTGAATTTTGCTCTAAGTGAAAAATTCATTGTTTTCTTAAAATGCAGCTGAATTTTTTATCCTTCAGCATAAATATGCATACAGTGATTTAACGTACAGGATATTAAAAATGGCCATGTTTCTGATACTTTTATTTTACTAAGAAAATTACTTTTACTTTTGATGCCTCTCTATCCTACTTGAGCCAGATTACAGATGTCAGGAGTAAATTATATTCTTCACCTTCGCTGCATTTAGTCAGTGAGGTACAATTATTTAGTTGGTATTTGAAGACAGTTGTATTGCACAAAGTGCAATTAGTTATATTGCCCTTTGAGTATATATTAATCAAAATCTAATGCAATTATCCAGAACTGTAATAAACATGTAACCTACATAAATAAGTAAAATTATGGTGCTTTAAGGAAGTCAGCAGAGTGATGATACCTTTAAGTTATTATGAACCAAACCCTTTGGGTTAATTACAATAATTTATTGTAGAATATGCTAAAGTTGCGTGCAATTATTAATTAGAAGATATATTTTATTTACACTGATGAAAATCTTATTTACAGACTCTTCTCTCAACTACAATTATTTATTTCTAAAATATATTTATTTATTTTATTTCCTAGGTTATTCAGATAAATTTTGAAGAATTTGATCTGGAGATTGGTTATGACACACTGACGATTGGTGACGGAGGAGAAGTGGGTGATCCTAAAACTGTGCTTCAAGTGTAAGTATTTTGCATTTACAATTTGTATGCATTGAAGAATGTAATTAGTGTGGTTTTGGTGAGACTAAATAATTATTAGGATCAGGTAAATAACAAAAACTAATCTTACTGAGATTCTAAAATTACTGAAGGTGACAGTTTAGATACATTGTTACATAATTACTGCTCTAAGTTCAGAAAGAGATGAGCTAGACATCACAAAAGAAAAAGAAAAGCTAAAATTAGAAGATTTTAAGATGCATAGTCTGGACATTCATGTGTAGACGTAAATTTTAGGTGCTACTGTGCCACGTTTATAAGTGTGTTCTCAAATTGAAAGTGTGTAAGAACATAATTGAAAATAGATAAATGGACAACTTATACACAAACTTTTACAATCTCCTAGCAAGGTTAACATGACAAAAGATATGCTATAGAATGCTGACCTTTAAGTGCTTATTGACTATCATGGATAACTCAAAAAGCAAGTTAATATAGTGATGAAAATTACTACAGAGAAAGGCTGAATAGGATATTACTTAAACCACATATTTCAAAGAAGCACTGAATATTGAATAAGATTCTTATCATCCATTGACATTCTTTTAGAATATGTGAGCCCAGATATCTAGACATATCACCGATATACTTAACAATCACCGATTAACTTCAGAATCCATATTTCTCAAATACTAAACTTGTGGCACTAATTTTTGTTCATTCCACAGTCACTTGAAAATATACAGAACACTGTAATTAGTATTGTTGTCTGTCATTTTATGTAGCTCCAGTTCTGTTCTGAGTAAACAATTCAGTATTTTCTAGGAGAAATGAATGCCTCTTAAATTACATTGTATTTAGTTTTTTTCAAATGGGAATCAATTTTATGAAAAAAAAAATCCAAACCGAAAGTGTGATTTATTGCTTAGAAACCATATTTTGCTTGTAAGGGATTGTCTAATATTTAGAAAATAATTTTTTTAGAGGCCAAATATTATTTACTTGTTATTTTTAAATAAACTGACCTCCAGGAAGTACCTCATGTTATCATTAGTTCAAATGAGTTAGAAATTAAAACACAGATACGAACAGAAGGAAATGTGAGAAAAGTTTAGTACAAAATATGTTTAATCATAAAAAAAAAAGAATAGCAAAATTAGGATTCCTTAGAATTATATTCACTATGGCATATTTAATGGAAATGTATTAAAACAACTTTGTGTATTGCAGTTTTCCATTATTCACCATTAGAATGATATCAAGAATTAGTTTGCTTGAGTACCCTGAAACCAAGGTTTGCCTCTTTCTCTGTCCTAATTTCACCTCATTAATATTAGTAGTTTTACAGCTTTGAACAGAACATACAGCTTTTTCAGGATTTGCAGATTTTTATCATGAATTCCCCCTCAGATTTGTCATTCAGAAGATAGATTATCTGACCTTCTAGTTTTTTAATTGGTTTTGTAATCATTCTATCTTTTTTGTTCTGTTCTATTTTGTTTAATATCTTTGTCAATGGTCAGGACAAGGGTTTGAGCGCACCCTCAGTCAGTTTGCAGACAACACCAAGTTGGTCAGGTGTGTTGATCTGCTGGAGGTTAAACAAAGAGGTGAAGCTCACGGGTCTGTAGTTCGCTGGATCTTCCTTTCTCTCCTTTTTAAAAATGGGAATGATGTTTCCCTTTTTCCAGTAACCAGGGACTTCAGCTGACTGCCATGACTTTTCAGATATGATGGAGGGTGGCCTGGCAACAACATCCACCAGTTTCTCCAGGATCTTGGATGCACGTTTTCAGGCCCCATAGACTTTTGGCTTTTCAGTTTTGTCAAATAATCTCAAACCTGCTCCTTGCTTACAGTGGGAGTGACCTTCTCCCCCAGCTCCCGCCTAGAGGGTAGGGGAAAGAAATGGGAAGCCAGACTGCCAGTGAAGACTTAAGTCAAAGAACTTATTGAGTACCTCAGCCTTCTCTATATCCATTGTCACGAGTTCTCCCTTCTCATTTATCAAGGTGGTCACACTCTCCATGGCCTTTTTTTCCTGACCAGTGTTAGAAGCATTCATGGGACATTGTTCCAATGTCAAATGATGGAAGAAGCTGCCCAGGGAAGTGGTGGAGTCACCATCCCTAGAGGTGTTTAGAAGATGTGTAGATGTGGTTTAATTACATGGTTTAGTGCTAGACTTGGCAGTGTTTGATTAACAGTCGTAATTGATGATCTTAAAGGTCTTTTCCAGCCTAAATATCTGACTCTTAGCAATGAGAAGACCAGGATTTGCACAAGTATTTCAGGTTCAGTTGCTTTAGGGTAATGCAAAGTCTCTTCAGTGGATTGTAGATGTGTTAATTGCTTCTAATAATAAATGTGAGAAGTGAGGAAATACTGTAATTTTTATTTTATAGGCAGTACCAATCATTAAAAATATATTTCTGATAATGCTGGAATTCAATTTTGCTATTCTTAGATTCCTAAACTATATGGAATCTTCTCTCATGTAGAAAGAACCTTTATTAAGTACCAATTCACCAGGTCTCATTAAAATTTAACTGAAGTATTATTACTGAATTACAGTATGCATTGAGGCACAGTAAAATAATATTTTAAATTTTGAGTAATGTGGTAAAACATTCTGTCCAGCTTGTAATTCATTGAACATGTTAGTATTTTATAAAAGTATTTCTGATGACAACACTTAGTTGGGGAGAAATGATGAACATACAGTATTAAACTTGTCACAAATGTAAAGGAATTCTGAAAAATTTTCTTTAATAAAAAAGTTAATTAGAATTTTCAAGTGTTAACATATGATAAGAGAATCTGTTCTGTAAATAACTAGGTAAATAATTTTAAAGAATTATTACTATAGTGATCCTGGAAAAGCAGAAAAGAGGTACCTCATTAATTAATGGGGTTTTAATATTAAGTAACATTGTATAATCAAAATGTATATAAATCACAAGTATATTATTTTTGTTTACCAGTGGAATGATTATTCTGTGATCAGAAGTAACAATGGTGAAGTTATTAGGATTGAAATGCATAAAAAATTACATAGAAGATGGAACATAATCGAGTACTGTAAAAAGCATGTAAATCTTTTCTCCTGTGGGCCATGCAGACTTTGTCTGAGATATGATGCATAACAAATAAATCAGCTGTTGTATCATTTAATTTTTGGATTTAAAATTTTAAAATAATTATCTTTCCTCCAGAAAATTGCTGAAGAATATTAGTTTGAATATATCTGGTTTACATGTTGATAATGTCAAAACATTTATCTTCCAATTTATCAGTTAATCAGGGAACCTATCCAAGTGCTTAATCCTCTGGTTTTACTGGGCACTGCTTGATAGGAAGGTTCACAACTGAAAACTGAAGTTAAGTGGCATTTCAATAGAACTATGCTTCCTAAATTGATAATTGCAGTCCTGATTATTCCTACTCTGTGGATGTTAATCACAGAAGTAGCTAAACTGCAAAGCCTTTTCAGTACTTGTCATTAAGTTTCCCTGAGTGCCTGTAGTTCTGAGCCTATGTATACGTGGACCCAAAAATGTGAGTTTGCTCCACCCTAGGGTGAGTCTGGCACACAGGTGAACTGAAAGCTATACATTTTTTTGTCTCTTTGATAAGATGACTGATATGAAGGCATGTGTTAAGCGTTATTACCAAGGGATAGAGGGGTAGAAGGAAAATAAATGGTGGATGCTCTTTCATACATCAGTCCCAGCACTTTTTCAGGATGTTTGGAAGTTTGCTTTCAGCAGGTAGTCTGACAGTTGCTGCAGGTGACTTTTAAACGCAATATGCATCTGGGCACGGATTCCTGTAACACACGTTTGGAAAATCCAGTGCACAAGACATGAAACCCATTCTTAATCTTTTCGTATGCTTGCTGTGTTGGGTGTGCATGCATCCAATCTCCCATATTACAGACTGTCTTCTGCAAATGGAGAGTGTTGGAATCTTCTGAATATCCTCTAATCCAACCTTCAGTGTACTCTCTCAGGGGGAGAATGTGTGTCACTAGCATGTGGGAGGTGTAGTTCTGGAGTCGTAGAGGAAGAGGTGGAAAACACCCTGCTGAGTATTGTAACTGTTAGGCTTTTTAATAAAAAGAGAGACTTCATAATCACATACTTCCATTTCTACTGCTGACAGTGTTCACTGTTCATCTTTTGAAAAGGAAGGTGTAAGAACTTGCTTCCAGGAGAGAAATCCAGGTAGTGAATCCAGGGTAGAGGAAGCCACATGAATCCATGGAAAGAAAGAAAGAATAATTCACAACTTAAGAATTGTGTTATTATCTTAAATAATTCTTAAATGCCATTTTTTCTGAATCTCATTACTCTGTGGCCCCTTCCCAACTCTCTTACAGGGATCCTGAAGGACTTAAAAATAGAGCAACAAGTGATTTATTGTGATAAGTGTTTATCATAGGAATTATTCTGTCTGACACAACAGAGATAAATATTCTCAATGGCCTTAATATTCAAAAAATATACTGTCAATCACCAGTTACAATTACAAAACACTGTTAGCCATTACATCAGTGTTGTTTCTGAGGAACATCCTGTTAATCTACTAGTTTGGCAAAGACTGAACTCACTGACGACACTTTCCCTTAGTGCAGGAATGAGCAGTTAATACGTTTTGGCCAGGCATTTACTTGTTCTGTTCTGGCAAGAGGCTTTGTAGTAGCTCCATCTGTGAACACAGATGTGGGAAACAGACATGAATTTCTCCCACAGTAGAGCATTTCATACAGAAACAAGCTAAAAAAGACCAGAGGGGAGAACTAAAATTAACTGCAAAATGTATTTAAAATAGTCCATTTGAAGTTTCAGCTATCTTTAAAAAATGGTTACAACTGTGAAAAAAATGAACTAACAGTTTGCACTCTTATGCAGTCTTGTGCTTATGATCCATTTTACAAGAATGGAAAATGTTTTCGAACTTTTCAGCATTCTGTTCCAGATGATAAACTCTTACCAAATTTGAGACAAAGTTTTGGGAAAAAAATGTAATATGACATAAAACTGCAGCTTTCCCAACATTTCCTTTTTGCTATCATATTATTTCATTCAGTAAACAGAATGAATATTTAGGGTTGCATTGACTTGCAAATTTTTGCAAACAATATGAAAAGTGAAAAAAAATAAAAAAGAAAAATCAAGTTTAGTTCTTTCTAATTAATCACCATCCTGCAACCAACATTAGAAGGGTTTAAAGTTGTGACATTTGTTATTTTTCTTAATGAAGAAGCAGACGTCAGACTGTTCTTCCATTGTTGTGGTAGAGGTGATGAGGGGAGGAGAGAGAGTGCAGGCAACACATGGACCATCATAATAGTGTTGCTATATAAGAATAGCAGCTTCCTTTTCAACATGCAAGGCATGTATTCCAAAGTGAGTAGTTGTATACCAGAGAAATCAAAGAATCAGTGTAATGCCTCATTATGGGCTTCTAGTGCCTTTGATATGCCTGCACGTACCCGAGTCATGCACACAGGGCTGCCAGATAAGGTTCAGGATTAGGGAAGTTACGTGACTTTCTGGACCAGCAACTGAAATATTTCAACACAACGTGAGTAGTAGTTACGTGTGTTTATAGGCTGCAATCAAATTTGCAGTCATTGGAAACTTGAGAGCTGTCTTGGCTAGCCAGCTGGGAGATAACTAAATTAGTGTGAGCTGAATGCAATGAATTTATAAAACATAAAAAATGCTAAATAGTTGTTTAGATTCCTTACAAAAAGAGAAAAAAAATCTAGTTACTTAAATGGCTTTACAGATTTTTTTTTTCTATCTATAGGTTAACTGGGAGCTTTGTACCAGACTTAATTGTGAGCATGAGCAATCAGATGTGGTTGCACCTTCAAACGGATGAAAGTGTGGGATCAATTGGTTTCAAGGTTAACTACAAAGGTAATGATACAACACTGGAAGCACATGTAATGGTGTACCAAAAATTAAGACAATATTATGAAATGTTTTTCTTTCATATTAGTGGATGAATTCTATTTCCAGTTCTTTCAGTTTTAAAAACAGGAAAATGCAAGCTGAATTTAAAAAAAATAGAAAAAAGTTAATTTATTCTTTTAAAGGTCTTATGTCACATGAAACTGCACAGCTTTTATTTGCTGTGTTCTTACAGCAGTTGGGTTTTGGCATATAGTTTTACCTTTATTTTATGGTATTTAATATTGAAAAATATTAAAATGAAGTAATTCTTTGATTATTTAAAGCTAAATGTGTAAAACAAATGAATACTTCCAACTTTTTTTGAAAATTAATTATGCCTATCACAACAGAAAAAAAAAACACTGCAAGTGAAGAACTCGAATTTCTGCTGAGCTTGAGCCAAGACAAAGGACAACTTACCTAATAATGTTCTTTATGATCTTCAAGTGCATAATGCCCAATATAAAACAGCTGTTCCTATTTGACATTTCTGGGAGAATAGGCAGTTTTTATAGACTATGAACAGCAAAGTCAACCAAAGACTAAAGTACAACATATACATACATACATATGCAGTTCTATATTATTACAGAATTAGTTATGTGTATTATTCTTATACTACATTTAACAGAGCTGCATGTATTCTTGTAAGAATTTTTTTAATTGAATGATTTCTGCCTACCACCCAAACCAGCTAATAGAAAGTGTGATTATTCAACAGAAAGGGAAAGACAAAAGTTAAACCAGTGACTGCGTGTATTAGAAATGGAGCTGATGTTGCTGAGAATGGGAAAATGGAGTGAATAAGTGTACTGAGAGTAAACCTGTACAATGTGACTTGTTGGCTTTTTTTCTGTCCATAACTTTCCTTTGGCTTTCCATGTCTATTAAGCCCCATAGTGGTATGGCATGAGTGCACTTCGCTCTTAATATCTTGTAGACTAAGACAGAAAGATCTTAGTACTCTGTTGTATGGTGGCCATTAAGAACAAGGATTTCCGCATTCCAGCTGTTGAAAGGGGCAAGAAAAATAAATAGTATAAACAAGTTTAAGAATTTGTTAATATAGCAAAACTTGAAACATAGCTGAGTGATCTGAACTCCAAATAATCTGCACAGGTTAAGTTGTTGATTCTATTATTTACAGGATTCTTTTCTAGTAAAATTAATTTTGCTTGCAACAATTTTAGTTTGCAGAAGGCACAGGATTATTGTCTGTTCTTATAATGTACTACTATGTCTTGTTTTATTCATGAGTTACATTTATTCTTAGAAGCTATAGTTCTGCAAGAATAAAATTAATCAAATATGAATAGGTAGAAGGATACAGAAAGGGTGAACATTCACAACAGCATCTCCATATAATCAATTTTGTGATTGCGTGCCTAGATATTGAGCCTGTATTTCTTTCTTGTCTTACAATGGTAGTTTACACTAGTTCACTAAATAGCACTTGAATGCATCAAGCATTCAGTGGGACAGATACTGTGTGGTGGGGCTTGTTTTGGGGTTTTTTTTGGTTTGTTTTGGTTTCATTTTATTTTGTGGGTTCCCCCCCATCAATCCAGAATATGGGATAATTTTTTTATATAAATTGCCTTCACTTAGATCCCTGAGAGGATGTATTCATTAGAGAAATATTGGGCAATGTTCATAAAACGAAATGGGAGGAGTAGCAAGGGCAAGTCAGGTTTGAAGTGGTTGCTATTTCTGTTGTCTTTCCTTTGTGTTGAACTTCTTTCTTGTAAAGATGGTAAGCTCTGAAAACGTGTAAATGGATAGTATTTTGGATGATCAGCTATTCTGAAATTTAAGTTTTGGAATTAATGAATTGGAAGATGAGAGAAAGTCCAGTGAGGTAAACTGAGTATTTATGTTAGAACAATGCATTCAGGGCTATGACAGAACTCTGAATTCTTTATAGAATCAAAGAATTTTAAAGAATTTTCTCTTTTCAAAGACTTTTAAGAATTACTTGAAAGAATTATGATTTCTAGGAGTCAGGGTCAGAAGACATTTTAGTTTAATTGATTTCATGAATTATTAATTATTAATTTTGTGAATTACTCCCAATTACTAAGTTAGGCATACAAGTACAAGTACGCCCAACTTGCTTGTACATCTCTTGGCTAGATGAAATTCTATTCCTTTAACTTGTTCCACCTCACAAATTTCACTATCCAATTAGACACCTAATTATGGCTGATTCTGTATCTATTTATGTCTTATATAATAAGGTCTTGTAAGTTTCTGCTTACATCAAAGGTACAATTAAATTAGCATTTTAGATTAGATTCAGCAGTTTGATTTTTGAATGGAATCTTCTTCTGATCATTCTCACTGTCCTTGTTTTAGTTTCCATCATGGAGCAATCTTGAAAGGCACAAATTACACTTGTTTGAGGTAACTCATAATATGCAATTTAATAGCATCCAACTCCTAATGGGCATTTATCAGGACCTTATAAAGCTTTTCCAAAGTAAAACCACTAAAACATAATTAAATACTCGTAGATAGTATGGATACTGTATCTTTTATTATTTCAATTTAAAGACCTGCTTATGTTGGAGTTAATTAGTTGATATTGTACTTGATAGCAGTACCTACTAACAGCTAAAATAATTTATCACTAAATGGTTTTGATGCCGAAATATCTGCTTTAGTGCTTCTGAGACTCAGCTAACTGGAGGTAGTGGAGATGTACAGGCCTCATTCCATCAGAATTCATAAGGACATTCTTCAATGTAATTGACATTTAGTTCTGAGTCTGGCAGACATTTTTAAAATATAGATTGTTCCAAATCCTACATGGAATATGATGGAAGGAAGTAAAGGTCATTACCCAGTGCCCCTCAAAATGGTATACTTGCTCAAGGTGCAAGATAGAAGGTCACTTCCTTTCTGACTGGAATAGAATTGAATATACCATACCATTTTTAATTATAGAAATAGACAAATAAATTTTTGAATACCTCCGCATTTATCAGTTTTCAGCTGAGTAACTCCTTTAAACTTATATTATTATAGGAACTAATATTTTATTCACTTTTATGTATCTGCCATTTGAGACAATCTAGTAAGTTTCTCTGAAATAATAAAATTATGTGTCTACTTGTACATTATTATGTGTCTACTTGTACATTAAGATGTTGCGTATGGAGTTATTTTATGGTTTTAATAGGTAGATCCCATTGTAATTATTTAAATATAAAAATAGATATAAGTATTGGAGAAAGTATTTTAAAGTAAATAAGTTTTCATTGTTGTTTTGAAATTCCTTTTACAGTAACCCATAGAATAAAACTAATTAGGAAGGTAGAATAATGAATATCAGGATTGGGCAGGACAGAAATACAAGCACTGCCTTACTAGAGATGCATTTTATCTGTTACCTCACTTGTATAAGCTGGCTTTGTTTGTTTGTTTGTTTGTTTATACGGTTCGAATATATATGTAGTTTTATAAAGTAAAAGCATGGAATATTTAGAAATCTGAAATTTTAAGTTAATTATTTTCAAATCATAATTTTGGGGATTTTTTTTTTTTAATTACTGTTCACAAGTTGCATGAATACTTTGGATCCTTCAATATTTCAGGAAATGGTGCCATATTGTCACAGTAGCACTTCTATTCCCAAAGCCATGGTGAAGAGGAAAGAAGTACTTATCTAAACAATAGAAGAGAGACAATCTCCAACATATCCAAACACTGGAACTGAATGGTCTTCATCTATAATTGAATAAAAAAGAGCTCCAAAAAATACAAGACAAACAAATAAAACCATGGCACAGCCTTCAAACACTAGAAACCCAATTTCGTGACGTAAGATTTTGGAGAATTGTGAATATATTTAAATTCACAAAAACCCTTGAGAATCTAGTGATGGAATCTTACAGTTCTTGGAAAACTATACATGAGAATTTTAAATGCAATAGCTTTCATATACACAAGCTTCCTTTTGTGACTTTGGACATATGTGCAAGATTAAATTCAAAATATTTCTTATACACTTTCTCAAAAAAACCTGTATGACAGAATTTGTGGAATTAAAGAATAATGTAAATAATCATGATGTAAATTAATAGAAAAAAAAGGTATTTTAAGAAATTAAATCAGTAATGTAAACACAGTGCAAAACTATTCTGTATTAGGACCATGTGGGAAAGCTGAACTTCTGTTTAGGTCAGATTTGAGTTCTCTGAAACAGGAGAAACTATCCTCAGGGCAGTGTAATTCTGTTGGGTCCTGATATCAAACCCTCGGTTTCTGAGCTGTGGCCAAATCTGAGGGAATTTTTTTTTTGTGTGGTGTCTTGGTTTTATTTTTCCCTAAATAACTGGCTACATGCTCTTTAAGACCTCTTAAAACAGTAGATTCTTCTGATAGTTCTACCTCCTATCAGGACAAAATCTGTACAATAATATATCAGATATACTCTAATCTAATTGCTTAAGAAAATAAAGTTAAAGAAGGTTACGTTGACTGGAGTGTAATGATAAGTTATAGAAGAGGATTGTTTCATATGCCAAGTTAGGTAGGAGTGTAGGTAAAAAATGAATTTAAAGCAAAGTAGACTTGCTTATTCAATTTTCTACATCAATGATCTAATTTTAGGATATGGGATTTACACTCTGACACCCAGTATTTCAAAAGATTTCTTTTTGCTTAAAGCATGACTTTCATGTTGCTTCAACCACTGTGGCAGCCTGGGGTAGCCTTCTGGAGTTCGTGATCCGCATTTTCATCCTATTTTCCTAGCAGTAAGCACTGAGTTGCAGACACATCTGAGGTTTTTTTGTCCCAGATGGCACAGAGATATTTTTCCATGACTAACTGCTCAACAGCCTTTGCTTTTTTACTGGTGACAGAATACTGAATGATCTGAATTATGCAGATAGTTTAATCCATTATTGGGAAACATGAATTTCAAATGTATATGTGAAATAAGATACATTTGCCATAAC